TGGTGATGCTGAAAATAATAATATTAGTTAAAATGATGATGACAATAATGACAGTAGGCCTACTATTAATGATATGGATGATTATAATACTGATGATAGTCATAATCATAAAGAAAATGACAATGACAATACTATTACTACTAATTATAAAAATGACTACAACAATAACAAGAAGAAAAATTGCTATCATCATTACTGTTATCATCATCATTATCATATATATCACCATCAATATCATTATCACTATTATTCTTTTCCGCGACACCTATCACGAAACAGTCTCGTGATCGGAGGCGAGACAGGCCTCTAAGCTCCGCCCATTTCTGTGACGTAATGGGAATGATCGCGGTTGACGGCTTGCTATTTTACTGTACTGGTTATTTTTCCAACAGGTAAACAGTATTTTGGAATATGATATCCAAGATAGATTTTGATATCTTAAGGTGAGTAGTGCGGTGTTATAGATATCCAATATAAGTACGAATATGCATGAAATATCCAAAGTAGGAGGAATGCATCTGGCAACTCATTTAAAGTTAACCGTCTGCTCGATTCCTGTCGCGCAAGAGGTGTCGCGTTTCCCGTAACCGCTGGAAAAGATGCCTAATTGGCATCACCATTATTATCATTATCATTATTATGATCTCTATTATCCTTATGATAATATTAACGAGAAGGATGACAATGATAGGCCTAATGATAAAAATGATAATAACAATCAGTTAGTATAAAAAGAAAAGAAAAGAACACAAATACAAAATTCTTGGTTAACGGTATTAGATACGTATATCAATATTCAGTTGCAAAACAAATACTTTTCCACCACTCACGTATTATATTGAAAGTGTAGAATCATTTATTAATAGGGTTATATACCAAAATTCGCAAAACTTACAAATATGACATATCAGAACTATATTTTAGAGCTATTATGCAATAAAAAATTTAAATCTCGGAGCTTAAATGCGATCGAGCATCCTGAATAAAGGCTGGCCGCTCTTTATACACTTTTCGCAAATGTTCTCCGATGAACGCCATCGTGTTCTTGGCGAACGTTACGTTCCCTGAATTTGTTCTTTTTCGAATTTGCCTCGAAATGAATAAGGAAAACAAACCCTGAGGCATCGAAGACTTTGTAGAAAGGGATCGGAGAGGATCTACAATAGGGTTGGCGAATGGGTTTGAGCCGTCTGCTGATGTTCTTTTGTTTATGCTCCCAAACAAGAGTTTGTCGCGCTTATGACGGTGTTCGTAAACATGGCGTCGCTCAAGTCGCTTACGGACGAGGAACTGAGGAAGAAACTAAAGGAATATGGTATCACAACACCTGTCACGGCGAGCACGAGGAACATCCTGATCAAGAAGCTCAACCACGCGTTGGCGAGCCACAAGAGGAACTCGACAGCCAACGCGAAGTCCACCAGGACCCCAAACAGTAGCAGACTCAACACCTTCAGTTCCGACGAGGACGACGAGAACGACTCGTCGGGGGAGCGCCAAGGCAGTGGCAGGTCGTCCAGGTCGTCCCGCTCGTCCAGGTCGCGGCGGAGCTCAAGGAGCACGGCGGAGACGTCACTCAACCACAGGGCTTCGGCGGGGGCGTCCCGCGGGCGGCCCAAGGAAGGCGCCCACTACCCCGAGGAGGAGGACGAGGCCGAGGGGCGCGCGGGGCTCTTGTCGCGGTCCCTGGGCGACCCTGGCGGCGACCCCAGGGGCGACCCCAGGCGCTCCCCGAGGACGTCCGTGTGCAGGTACTTCCCGGTGTCGGCGCGGTCGGGCATCAGTCCGAGGGCCAAGATTCATGATGACTACGACACGGGGTCGGACTCGGAGGGCGCCGACGGGGCTGAGGCGCTGCCGCCGCGGCCGCCGTCGTCCCCGGCGTGGCGCGGCGGCCGCGACGAAGATCTGCCCGATGGCGCCTTCAAGGCCGCCTGCCAGAATCACAGTGCGTCACCCACCAGGCCCTATGTCCCCCCTGAGGGCGCCAGACAGAGGCGGGCCGGGCAGGGCTTCCTGGAGAACGGTGGGGGCTTCGACAACAGTGGAAAGTGTCGGGATGGGAATGGAACTGGGGGCCTTGGGGTTCGTGCTGAGGGGCCGGTAACACAGGTGACTTCGCCTGGCAACCACCACGAACATACGCGAGTGGCCAACGGCAGACACCACAGTGAGCCAAGTGCGGATCTGGACCCCACGCACTGTGATGAAAGTACGTGGCATTACTCCATCCCATTCTTATTGTTGGTTCTTTTAGTCGTTTTCTTTGGCGTGGTGGGCATGCTGTACGTCAACATGCGTATGCCCCTCCTGCCCACGCTGTGCTCTGTGCCTGCCATGCTTCACCAAGCTATGGCCAATGTTCCTGTGCCTTTCTTCACCTTCAATACGCCTGACAGACAAGCCCAGAGTTTACCGTCTGTGTCACTGCCAGCTGAAGAGTCAGCATCTGCCAGAGAGACGCCTCCGCCAGTACCACGTGTTGCGGCACCAAGTACAGGTAGGCCTGAGGCTCTTGAGCATATATGTTATTTGGTGAGAACAAGAGAGAAAGAGAGAGTGAGTGAAATAATTGTTAATTATCTGGTTAGTTCATAGACGTGTGATATGATTTTGATTGCCTTATGGGAAAGATATATAAAAATGTATGTATTTATATTTGTATTTATTCTTACTTATATATGTATATACTATGTATGTGTTTAAAGAGTTTTTTTCCTTTATGTTTATAGTTACAGATTTTACACTATGTAAATAAGTGAATATGTGTGTTTATGAAAGGAATGAAAAAGTATATGGAAGAAGAAGAAGAAGAAGAAGAAACATATGTAATGTTGGAACCTAAGACCAAGTTTGCAATGATCTCTCCAGCAAGGTTAGGGTCTCTAGGTGGGGGATGGAGGGAGGGATATGGGTAAAATTTCTCATGACAGTTGTGTAAAAGATAAAAAAAAAAAGTGAACAAATGAAGAGACATGAGTTGTATCCAAAATTGTAGAGAAAATGAAGTGAAAATTCAATTAAGATTCCGAATTTAAATCTAAGAGTCAGAATTGGTCTAATTGGTCCTGAATGATATGCATCGCTTGTAGACTACTTTTGGTGAATAAGATAACGAAGGGAAGAGCAAGAAAACACGCAAATATGCCAAAGGCCTTCAGCTTATTTATGGGTTTAATTGTTGTATTTAAAATTTGTACAACACTAATCCTGCACTACTTTTGATGTATTTTTTTAAAGATAAGAAACAAGCCCATCTTGACCTGGCTCTAAAATAAAGGCCCTATCACACTATTACTTATTCTGTCAATTTTAACATTTCCGCCTGAATATCCTATTGGGATTTCTGCATGTATTGCATGCTTGCAGAACTCCTCCCTGATGCTAGTGACCTTTTCCATCTGACTAATTTCATGGGGATGTTGGGCAGATCCCCCCATCAACCCTCCTGAAGAGCATGACCAGTTATGGCAACTTACATTGTTGAATGAATATTGTGACAAGGAGCTAGGGACTTTTTCTCTTTCAAGTGCATCTGTAGTATAAAGGGTAATTCTTTACAGTACAGATGCACCCGCCAGAGACTAAGTCCGCAGCTCCACCCAGCAATTTTGGGGGACACGTGGGGAACCATTTTTTGTTGGGGGGGGGGATAAAGAGTGGGCTCAGCTTGATTTCAGTGTCAGTAAATGACTGAAATTAATTATTAAGGTAATGACATGCGACTTCGGAAATGTGAGCCAAACTTCCTAATTATGAAGATCAAAGAAATGCGACTTTTCAGAAATGCGAGCCAAAATTTACATCTAACACTAAATACTACTCCCGAAATACAAGTGTCTGATTATGCTGCCATATATGAATATACGAAAGTGCAAGTGCACACGGTAACTGACACAAAATTTACTCAAATGTCCAAGTTGAGATGACTGGGCCTACTGCCTGAGGGGAGGGTTGATGGGGGGGCTCCGCCTCTTCACCTCGGTATGCACGACAAGATAGAGCTGAAACAGTTCAGAAAATTGCATTGCACTTTACACACTTTCTTTCATTTAGGATGATTCCGTGAATCTGTAGAAGCTTTATGATTTCAATTTTACCATTGAGTAAAAAAAAAAAAGGTCAAGCACACCCCCATAACACAAGTGACACACATAGGTCATTGTCACTGAGAAGAATGAGGCAGGCCACCGGTGTAGCCAGAAATGTGCGTGTGTGTTAAGTAACGACTGTATTTGAGTAATTTGGCAATTTAGGATATTAATGAGTTAGCTAAGACTGAGGATCAAAATACACATTTTAACTTAACCCATTGCCGCCGGGTGGCACGTACGTACACGCCATGGCTGTTGTGGACCAAACGCCGGGGGCATCATGTCATGCCCATTCCTGCGCTACTGGCTCGTCGGACGGAGGTTGTTTTTCTCCGGTAGTAGCAGCTTCATTTATATGGTAAAGATTTTAGGCAATGGCACCTAAAGTGAAGGTAAACCTTCAAAATTTTAATATTTTTTATAAATTTTAGCAAAATAAAAGCTTTTAGGTGCTATATGTCACTCGCAAACTACCGATCGAGTCGGGCGCAAACAGGGGAAACTGCCAGTGCACGCCAACAAGCCCATGCATACGTAAACTTGCCAAAATTTTTACCCATTGGTAATGGGTTAAAGAGGCTATATATGAAGCATTGGTCGATACTCATGTGCATTTTTATGATAAAGTATATGGAATATAATACCTGAACTTTAATGAGCAAATAAAAATCTCTGTTAAACTGCTGCTTCCTGATTGGTTGTGATGTAGTGGTGACATAAGTGCGCCATAGGACAGAAGACGGTGTGCGAGCTGCGCGACAACTTGTTCTTTCTCGCCAAGCAAGTAGACTTAGCCGCTGGAGTGCCAAGTGGACTTTGGCTGTGAGTGATGCTTTCCGCGACCTTTTTCCTATATTTGTGGATTACCATTTGTGTCAGCAGATTATTCTGGTACCAACCACTCTT